TCAAAACTATGATGGTGAGTCACTCTCACTGATCAGGAGAGGCCTCATTACTGATCAAGAGACTTCTGCCAGCCAATGAAATGATTCATGTGGTCACAGATGTGGAGTTACAAGCGACCTCAATGACCACCTAGTCCAACCCTCTTGTGTGTATGAGGACATTGAGGTCAAGTGACTTGCTCATGGTCACATGGCAGTAATTTTCAAAGTCAGGATTTGAACCAGGTTCTCTGATTCCAAATCTAGCATATTTCATACTGAATCACACTGTCTCTTCAGGATTCTGATTTTTTGGTATTGTGATTTATTATTAGAAGCGCCAACTATGGGGTCAGGAGAATGCCACAGCTGTGGTATGACAGGATTTGTGGGTTACATGTGTGGTTCCCCTCACAGTGAGCCCTCATCAAAGCTGCCCCAGGTTCCAGATTTCTTGGTGGGTCAGCACACACACAAAGCCATAGAAGATGATCACAGTCCCCAGTGTGTGCCCTTATACCTGTCAACCAGAGGACATGTTAATTCAAAATAAAATATATTTAATCAAATATTCCAGCCAATAAAATACAAAGAAAGATTTCTTCATGTACACACTGACTATTTTTCTACACTAGATCTTAAACTCTCAGAAGTGAGGGATAATGTATTATACTTATTAAAAAAACAAAATAACCACTACCCAAAAACACCTCCTTCCCTCACTATTTTGTGTTTGACACAATATTTCACAAACAGCAGCAGTATCAGAATAAAGCTCACATAGTATCATCAGTCTAAAATTGAAAGGGACCTCAGAGACCATGTAGTACAATTCCATTATTTTACAAATGAAGAAATCAGGGTCTAGAGAGACAAAATGAACTGCCCACAGTCACAAAGCTATTAAGTGTCAGAAGCAGGATTTGAATCTGTGATCTGACTCCAGTGCCAGTGCCAGTTCTGTTGTACCACAATGCCTCCCCAAGGCTTTGACTGATGCTTCTAAGCTAAAGGGGAAATGACTTCCTTTTCTATGCCAATATGTTGAACCATCATTCTATTTCCAATGTTACCTGTCAGCTTCATGGGAATTACAACTGGGGTCTTCTTTCTAGTGATGTTACCTAAAAAGCAGAATTATGTGACATCCTTGAACAAATGGGTGCTGAATACAACTGGCTAGTTGACTGACAAGTCTGCCTTGAGAATGCTCAAGGTTCTCCTCCTACTCTAGCTCAAATAATTATTGTGGGATAAGCAGTGGGAGCATCCTTCTCAGACAGTCCCCAAAGCATAAAATGAAAGAAGATAGATCAAGAGAATCATGTCCCCTGGTATACATTATGGGGTGGGATTTTTGGGTAGTTGCATTTTTCAAGATCTTGCACTGACTGGCCAATGTCACATGGATCCCTTGATGATGTAAAGATGAATGGATTATTTCTTTGGGGAATTCCAATAGGAATTTCCCAAGCTCCTGCTCTGTCCTTTGAAGAAAGGAAGAGCTCTGTGTGTGTGTGTGTGTGTGTGTGTGTGTGTGTGTGTATGCATGTGTGTGAGCATGCATAAATGCACTGCATTGGGGAGGAGGTGAGGGCATGCAAAAAATGGGTTATAGCAGCAATTTGGATTGGATTGACACAGCCTTTCTGTTAGCAATGTGCAATATTGCAGAGGAAGGAAAATGGAAGGCACCTTATCATTTCCATTGTTCGTCAATCAACATGCATTAACTGAACACTTCCCCTAAGGGTTAGTCCCTGAGGAACAAAGAAAGGAAAAAACAAAAGCAGAAAACCAACAACAGCAATAATATCTCCCCTCCTCAAGGACTTCTCATTTTAATGGAGGGGACAACATGCAAATACTTATATAGAAACACACACAGATATATGTATACACATATATGTACATACATATATGCACATATACACATGCACACACACATGTACATGCACATATACATTCACAGTTGTATAAACACACATGTATATACATATGTGTATACATATACACACACGTGTGCACACACCACATATGTATATGTGTATATCTGTATGTGTGTATATACATGCATGTGTGTGTATATATACATAGACATGTACATACACACACATACATACATATATATATATATATATATATATATAGTGTGTGTGTGTGTGTGTGTGTGTGTGTGTGTGTGTGTGTGTGTGTAGACAATCAGTGCTGAAAGATGGAGCCTCATGTTTGAGGAACTACCAATAATCCAGTAAAACCAAATAGCCGCATGGATGGTGGGGGGCAGTAAAATGAAGATGGCTGGAAAGACAGGAAGGGGCCAAGTTGTGAAGACTTTAAGAGTCAAAAATAGGACATTATAGTTGGTCTTAGAGGTGAGAGGGAGCTATGGAGTCCACTGAGGAAGGAGATGATGTTGTCTGACCCTCTACTGGAGGACAAATACCCCCTGGTAAGCTGACTATAGTATGGACTGGAGTAGAGAGAGCTGAGTTGGGAGGATAGGTAGAAAACCATTGCAAAAGGCCATCTGAGAGGCGATGAGGACCCCAAAAAAGAATGTGTCTGCATGAGTGGAGAGAAGATGCATTTGAGAAATGTGTTGAAGGTGGCAATGACAAGATTTGGCAAAAGATTGGGTTCATGAGGTGAATGCCAGTGAGAAATCAAGGATGGGATTGAGATTGTCAACGTGGGTACCCTGAGCAGCAATAGGCAAGTTCAGAAAGAAAAAGGGAGTTGGAGAGAGACAGAATGAATTCTTTTTAAGATATGTTGAATATGGAATATCTGTGGGACATTCAGGGCAAGATGTACAGGAGGCAATTGGAGATGCAGGATGGCAGCTCAGAAGATATGGTATCTCCCAGCATTGGAGTATCATTTCATGAAATTATGTTATGAATATGTGAGATGATCTGCTTGAAACCTTGGTGCTGAGGATAGCAGTGGTACCAGTTCAAGTCAATTCAGCTCAACCAATATTCGTTAAGACCATATTATATATTATATCATGATCTAATATGTAATACAAAATAATGGGTAATATGATATTAGATGAGCCATCCCTGGCAGTTATGGCCACAAAACAAGCAGCATTAAAAAAAAGAATACTTTCACTTTCCATGGCAAATTATTTTGAGAGTGTGGGGAAGATAGTGGGGAAGGACCTCGGACCTTGGATACAAGAGCCCTTTGGAAAGAAATCCAGGGGTAATTCCCTGTGGTGAGGAAATAGACTCCAGGGCACAATAAAGAGGCTTCTGGGAAGGCTGTCACCAGAGAAGGGCACGAAGTAGGGCTGGGCTATGAAGGAGTATTGTGGCATGATCACAAATAAATATAAATCACATGCAAAGTAATCCAATTTAATTTTGAGAGAAAGTAACTAACAACTGGAGACACAGGGCTCAGGAATGACCTTCTGTAGAAACCAATTAAATCAGCAAGCCTTTATTATGTGCCTATTACGTGCCAGTTACTGTGATAGGTGCTGAGCCTATGAATACAAAGAATGAAGATGAAATCCTCCACACTGTCAAGGATATATGCAGTAAGTGATATCTAGGCATGACTTTATGAGATGCTAAAGATTCCAAGAAATGGAGGTGAGGAGATAGTACATTCTAGATATGTGGGACCATCAGCAGTTATGTCACCAAAAATGGTGTTACTGCTTCTAATCTGCACATCTAGGTATCATGAGAGTAAATTAATAACTCAAATAGATTTATGTTTAAAACATGAATATATATATATATATATATATATACACATATAGTAGTAATAATAACAACAGTTATATAGAGCTTATTACATGACAGGCACTGTGTTAAAAGCTTTACAAATATTGTCTCTTTGGATACAATAATCCTGAGAGGTAGATGTTATTATTATCCCCACTTGTTAGTTGCGAAAATTTAGGCAAACAGAGATTAAGTGACTTGCCCAGGGTCACATAGCTAGTAAGTATCTGAGGCAGAATTTGAATCCAGGTCTTCCTGACCTCTGGTGTGACACTGTATCCACTGCAGCACCACCTAGCTGCCTACATATGAATACATCTATTAAATATATGTGGTTTTAGGAGGGGGTTTGTGAATAGTACTTTACTGGTGAAATGAGAAGGTAGACTTGGGAGGTTATTTTTTAAAATTATTATTTCATTTTCCTAGACCAATGATTGAATTCTCCAATTTTTTTTTTAATACTCAGCCCCTGGATAAAGGGTGGGGGAGAGAACCAGATGAAAACAAAACAAAATAAAGCATAGACATCCCTTTAGCTCCTCTCCCACAAATACTTCTTTGAGGAAATGGGGGTCAGTTGAGACTATATGAAGGGCTGAAGTATCCAGGAGGAACCAGAAGGGGGTGCTGTCATCAACTCCTAGCTATCATTTTCCAGCTTTGCCTGAAGTTGGAAACCCCTGGCCATAGAGTCTGGATTTGATTATAGGAAATGGTGTGCGTGTGTGTGTGTGTGTGTGTGTGTGTGTGTGTGTGTGTGTGTATGTTTCTTTTACAATATCACCCCCCACCATGACAAACATTTAATTTTTTTTTTCAGTTTGGAAAGCAAACATTTTCCCCAAAGAATTTACTGTTCAAATTGACACCAACTTCTCACTAACTGGAGCAATCTGGGTTTCCACTGAAACTTTGAGTATTTCTCTGTAAAATATTAGTCATTCCTCTGGAAGAATCAGCAGCTTTTGTAGGCAGGGGCATAAAATGGGTACAGATGTTGGTGCAATAGTAGAGGTTTTAAAGTGTGCCTTGTTTTTGCGTGTTTGTTTCAAGAAAAATGGGAGGTGAGAAAACAAAGATGACTAGGATGCTAAAATAATTGTATTTTATATTACTGAAATATGAAAGTTTTGATGCATTTAGCCTTTTGAAATTATTTTACTAAGGTTTTGAAATGATACTAAGCCATGTCTTGGGAAGAAGATTCCATGTTTGTTTGTGGATTCCATATTTGTCTTCACATATGTAACTGGCTGTGTTCATCCCATGCAGAACCGTAGTGATGCCAATTGCCAGAGAATTTGGTCCGGACATAGTCCTTGTTTCTGCGGGATTTGATGCTGTGGAAGGCCACACCCCTCCACTGGGTGGGTACAAAGTAACAGCAAAATGTAAGTATCAAACTCTGGCATTTATTTACTTCTGGGCTTTTGTGGATAGCAAAGCCCCTATTTTGAGCTGATATTTACTGGAATCAAGTAAATTGTGTGAAACATTCACAAGCAATTCCAAAGAGGCTGCTCATTGTTTCAGGAAACTCATACTTCTTTCCTAGACATGGGTGAATCTCAATCAAGGTTAAAATTTTAGTGTCCTAGAGGGAGCTACAGTAAGGAAGCCAATCCATGGCCAGCCAACTGACACCCAAAGCAATTGGGGTGTGTGTGTGTGTGTGTGTGTGTGTGTGTGTGTTGTGTGTGTGTGTGTGAGTATGACATAAAACCCTGAAACACTGGTAAAATATACCTTATCTGAATAGATTTGAGTGATGTGATTTTGTTGAAAAAGAATTATGGGAAAAGAGGTGGTAGGCCATCTGTAACCCACATCTGGAAATATACCTCCAGTGAGAGAGAGAGAGAGAGAGAGAGAGAGAGAGAGAGAGAGAGAGAGAGAGAGAGAGAGAGAGAGAGAGAGAGAGAGAAGGAGAGGGAGAGGGGGAGAGAGAGAGAGAGAGAGAGAGAGAGATTGTAGAAAACAAAGTAAGTATCTACTAAAAACTAACCAAATGTCTTTACTGGGAGATGAACAAAATGACAAGTCCTGAGGCCGGGAGAGAATGGGTTAAAAACATTGTGTTCATGTCATAGGGCACAAGAACTCAATTGCTGCAAACATTTGTCTTCTGCTGGACAGTGCTTGGCATGGTTTCTCTGTCCAGCTATTGCTTCTGACCATAGAGTTCTCCAGGATCTCTTTTTAACATCCCATCAGAATTTGTTCATTGTCTGTTCATGGCACCACCCACTCTTTAGGTGAACCATTGGAGGACACAACCTCAGTAATATAAGAAGCTAGACAGCATAATTACTCACTCTGGAAAAAAGCAATACTTGACATGGTTTCTATTAATCAAGGATCCTCATGACCATTTTATTCCAAAAAACACATTTTAGATGGAAGCCACACTTTTCAATACTGATGCCCTTGCCTTTGGGTCAAGAGTTAAGAATAATTGACTCCCCAAAATAGTATTTTACATCATCTTTAGATAAACACAAACAATACAAAACACATGGGGAGCCAAGAAGGAAATGGAGAAAAGATGCTCCTTCCCATTCATCTCTCAGAACATCCCTCAGGCTCTCAGTGGACATCTATCTTCAACTCTGTTTCCTTGCCAGAGGAGACAGTTGTGAAATACTTATTTGCTCAGAAGTAGCTTGAAGGCATGAGCTGGGATTATTTATTAGCTGCCTGCCAAATTGCATTCAAATTTCAAATGGCATCCCTCACCGAACTGCCCCACCTCCAGAGTTCTACCATTGCTTTGGCAGTTTTGATGTAACAGGAGGGAGAAAAGGAAAACAGAAGAATAATGGAAGAACTATCCTTTCGTTACAGATACAAATGCAATAAAAATATATAAGGAATACATACATTTCTTAGAGTTTATTGTTTGTTGATAACCCATTCTTCATTTTATGTAGGCAACTAGAAAATGCTGCTGCTTGGATTTGCCCAAGGTCAATCAGAGTTTGAACCTAGGTTCTCTGGCTCCAAAAACAGCACTCTTTCCTCCTATAGCCTGTTGATGCCTGCGATATATATCTTCTTTATGCTCCAGGGCACTCAGAGTCATTATTCTTTGGGGATCATTGGGGTAATTAAAAACAACAACAACAACAATAACACAGTAATGATATCTAACATTTATTTAGCACTTTGAGGTTTCCACAGCACTTTTACATATATTCTTTTATTAGATCATCACAACTGTTCAATAAGATAGGGGCTATTTGCCCCACTCCACCCCCATTTTACAGATGAAGAAATGTGGTACACAAAGGTTAAGTGACTTTCCCAGGGTCACACAGCTAATAAGTGTCTGAGGCAGGATTTGAACTCAGATCTGCTTGACCTCCAATTCAACACTCTATCCATAATACCAATAAAATACAACTGCTCTGGAATCTGGCATACAAATATAATGGTCTTCAAAATATTATACATTTCCTCTTTAAAAAAAAGTTCTTAAGGGATGACTTTTTTTAAGGCAATTGAAGTTAAGTGACTTGCCCAGGGTCATACAGCTAGTAAGTGTCAAGTGTTAGGTCTGAGGCTGAATTTGAACTTAGTTCCTCCGGACTTCAGGGCCAGTGCTCTATCTACTGCGCCACCTAGCTGTCCCAAGGGGTGACTTTTTCAACTAGAAAGAATGGTACAGATATTGGATCCAATTTAATCTATTGAACATTTATTGAGTACCTACTCTGTATTCTTGGTGTAGATCAGAGTAGCCTGGTAGATAGAGAATCAGGAAGAACTGGTTTGGAGTTTTAATGCTGACCCACATTAGCTGTGTAACTCTAGGCTAGTCAACTAACTTCCAGTGCCCCAAGCAATTACCAGTCACTTTCAAGGTAGACTAAAGTTTGAGATCTGGAAGCAAAGAGACACTTCTTCCTTCAACTTCATCCCCCTTGCCTGTGCAAAGCATTGTGGGATGAAGTCCTGCTAACTTACAGAAAATATGGTTGTCAAGGGCCTTTAGAGCACTCAAGCAGGCTGTGAGTTTGATGCTCTGGAAAGTAAGGTAAAGCATTCTAATAAGCTTTTTGTCCAAACCTGTGACTTCATCCCAACATGGACATGCCTTTTATTTATGCAGATTAACAACTGATTTGTAATTTATGGTTTGAGAAAGTTGTCTAGAACACTTTGTGGTTAAAGACGTAGGCCTTAGTCATGTAACACACTTAGTATTTATCCAAGCAAGAAGTTGAGTCCGTGTCTTTCTTACCCAAAGGGTACTCTTCTATGTATTTTGCCATTCAGTCTCTCATTCATGTAATCAAAAGATATGCAAAAGGAGAAAGGGATGCTTTGGGAGGTGAGAGGTTCCCACACAATGAAGGTCTCCAAGGGGACATTGAGTGACCACTTCTTTCACATTTAAAAATGTGTTTGTTTTGGACATTTTGAAAAGGCATTTCTATTGAATTTGGGCTATATATCCTCTAAGGTCCCTCTCACCTCGGAGATCTGATAAAAATCCTCTTGGTAGCCAGAATAGACAAAATCGCATCTCATGGGCTTTCCACTAGAGAAAAGCCTTTTGGTCTCACTCAGAGTCTCTTATTTTAGACACGATAATATTGACTGTGAGAGGCAGTGTGGCATAGAGTCTAGAGAGCTGACAGTGGAGGCTAAAGAGGCTGGCTTCAAGTCTTGCCTCTCACAGAGTCACTGTCTGATTGATCAGACAAATCTTAAAAACAGAATTGCAGGACAGTTTCCAAACTGCATTTGGAGGAATATTCTCATGGCATAGTCCTTATAACAATAATATCTCAGGTCTGGTCACCATGTCTCCACCCCCATTAAAAAAAAATCCTGGTAATACTCTTGATGCCATGGCATATTAGAGGTGAGCAGTATAAATGGGGAGGAGGGGTTTGGGGAGAGATCCTTCGAGGGGAGGGAGAAGAGAGGACCACTGCTTTTTCTGGCTGGTCAGACCAACTGATACTAGCAAGACTTGAAAGCCAATCCACTAATAAGGAGGAAAAAACAGAAAAAGAATCAAAAGCAAAGGCACCTGAAAAGTTCACTGATGTGACCTTTCATTCATTCATTCATTCACTCATTCACTCATTCATTCATTCAGCAAACACTTATTAATAACCCAATATGTCAAGCATTGTTTTGGGTACTAGGGATACCAGGACAGAAAAAGGAAAAGGAAAAATGCCTTTCTTCAAAAAGCTCACAACTTGCCTATGTCCCCTTGCTTATGAGAACAATATTGATGTTGATGTTCATAAAGTTTCCCTGAGCTAATAATACAATGTTATGTTATATCCAATATCCTTTTTTTTAAAGTGAGAGGAGAGTGTACAATACCTTTTGGCAAGATTTTGACGGGGAAATTTTTTTCAAAAATTAAATTCCACTAAGTAAGATAAAATTCAATTATTTGGAAAATTGACTTATATGGAATTCCTCATGCCCTAAGGCCAAATGAGCTGTGAATGTAGTCTGTCCTCATTACAAGTATTGTAAAAGGCTGATATGATTATCTAATAATAATAATAAAAGCAACAGTAACCCCATGATAGTAAATGGCAATATCTTCATGTCAATGAAATAATCATTTTTTGTGTGTTTACAGTATGTTTATTTATTGTGCTTACAGTTTATTTTTTATTTATTTCTATCATGTTTACATTTATATGTGTATATATTTAAAAACAATTTTTCATTCCTGATCATCTCTTCCTTCCCACTAATCATCCCTTATAACAAAGAATAACAAAAGAAAGAGCATTAAAGTAATTTAGCTAAACCCACAACATGTCAACTGTGTATGGAAATGGCACATTCCACACCCATAGTCTTCTACCTCAGCAAAGAAGGTTGAAGGTATATTTCTCCTCTCTTGTGTCAACTTTCTTCTTGTTCATTATAATTTCAAGTTTCCTTTTCCCAGTTTTGTTGTTGTCATTATTGTTCTCTTTCACCTTGTTACGATTGGTTTGCATATTGTTTCCTGGTTCTGCTTATTTCAGTATGCATAAATTCACAAAAGTCTTCCTCTGCATATTTTTCATGTTCATTGTTTCTTATGATATAATAGTATTCACAGAATCATAGATTTTGAATTGGAAGGAACCTTGGAGACTATAAAATCTAATCATCTCCTTTTACAAATGATGAAAGTGAATTTAAGAGAGATTAAGTGACTAGTGTCTGCGGTCACACAGCTAGTAGGTGTCAAAGGCGAGATTTGAACTCAGGTCTTCCAGACTGAAAGCCCAGCACACTTATAACCAACTGCCTCTTCTATTATATTCATATATCAAGTGCTGTTTAACTATTTACTAATTGATGGGAGAAATTGCTGGATCTTACTCATTGCTAGGAAGGAGAGAAGCTTCAGGAAAATTTC